ATTAAAATTCTAATTTAAGTCAAACTTATATCAATTTGAATTTTAAATTGGACAACTTATCACATAAGTTAATTGGATAGCTTGAGAGCAAGTAACTGAATCCCAGAGGGATTCATAGTGTGCTATGTGTTCACACCATGTGAACACACCATGTGAACACCTTCACATGTGTGTTTCAAAATTTAAATTTAAATAATCACATTATTTAGTTTATAATTAATTCTCCTTGAGTGTTTTATTTTAGAATTCCATAATTCTAAAATTCCCATTTTGCCCTCAGTGTCTTGTAGAATTACAAGGACGACGCGATGACTCATGGACCTATAATTCTGAGCTCCCGTAAAATTAATAATTAATTAATTAATTCTATTAATTCTAAAAGTTACTCCACTATAAACTTAGAATTGCACTCTCATTATTATAGACATAAATTACTTCTAAACTGTGAAGTGTCCATTTGATATAGTCATTGTATATAGATCAATCCTCCATAAATAATTCATAATTAGAGCTAGGTGAAATCCGTTAACCTCTCTAATTATATCTTTATCCTTAAGTACCATTGATTTTCTAATGGAGAGTGTTCATAAAACAAATTCATGAATCGGAGCTCCTATTGGTCTAAGTACTGAATCAACTCTCAAGAAAATTATTTATCTACTTTTTTCTCAATAAGAAATGGATTTCATCTCGTATAATAATATTCCCGGCTACTCACTTATTCATGTCTCCAAAATACAAGAAATAGAATTCAAGATCTTGAAATCCGTACCGAGTATATCAAAAGACACAATACCATAAATATGAGCATGCTAAGAACTCAGGATTAAGATTATTCTATGTATGACCATCGGTAGACTCAATTAGAATTTCTATACTTAACGGAAATTATCAGAAATTCATATTGTGTCTATGTCCCTGTTCCACATAATCTCATTATGCATAATACACTCATTTAATATCTCGTCATATTAACAGTGTGGATAACACCGTTCCATTCTAAATGAGAATGACCTGTATTAGTAATGTTTTAATTAAAGATTCTAAACGTTAATTAAATTCATTACGAACATCATTTTGATTATTATTCTTAAATATTATCCTCTTGTATATAACACTTATATACAATATTTAAAGTCACATAAATAATCATGGAATTTTAACTAATATTCATTAATATATGCACACAAAATAATGAATAAACTCTTTTGTTAAATAAATAATAAATATCTTATTACATCTCCTGCTTCTAAGATATCATTCCCAACATTATTATCATTAAATAATATAAACATTAAATACTAGTCTATAATATAAAATTTAAAACCTTAATATCATTATTAAAGTTAGTAATGTCATTACACATCTATATTAAGGGCCCGTTTAGTTTATGTGTTCAAACTAGTAATTTTTATTTCTGACATTTGAAATTTAAATTTTTTGTCAGAAGAAAACACTACAGTAGAATTAAAAGCATGAATTTAAACGCATAAAATAAACGGGCCCTAAGCGATACATATGTATTCTCCCTATGGTAGTAAATATGCCAACTTTTAAAACATTTGGAAGTAAATAACTCATTTACGAAATATTAGAAATAAATTCAGTTTTGAACTTTTTATTTTCCAATTTTATCCTTAATTTTATCGTCCTCTCACTTTCGTCCTCTCTCTCTCAAGTCTCAACCTCTCTTTCTCTCTCCTTTATCTATCATTGGAGTGTTCGCCAGCCGTGCACCTCGCGAACACTATTGACGCAGATCATGAGTCGTTATTTTGTTTTCCGTTACCGTTGACGCTCTGCCGAACCTCCAATTAAGTGAGAAGAGAGAAAACCGAGTGCTATTTTTTTTTTTTTTAAGGAGTAGGAGAAAATTTATATTTTTGTAAATTAAGATTTACACTTAATTAGCCTATTTACTAACTATTTTTAAATCTTGATCTATTAATTTTTATTACCCTCTTAGTTTGGTCTATTTCCCTCGTTCATTATGCATAATATTCACAAACTCTAGTCATATTTTAATTCAACAATCTTATTTATGCCACATGTCTCATTAACCCTTAATTTTAAAGTCTAGAATGCAATATGCAATTATTTAATCAGTGTTCTTAATTATAATTTTTAAAATTATATTTTTTATGAGAGAAAAACACTATAACACAATAAAATCATGAATTTATACTGTTACTAAATATACACTTAAAGTTTAAGATGTATTATGGGGAAAAAAAAAAGTTAAGAATGCAATAGTATAATTTACTCAAATAAAAATCTACCTACCTACCTACCTACCTTAGATTTAAAGCAATAACCAGGTTTTGACCTAGTAAAATTACGAAACCCCAGCAACAGAAAGGGATAAAAATCATAAGCAATTAGCAAGTAAAGAAAAAAAATATTACGCAGTTTTTTCTTTTTTCTTTTTTTGGTCAAATCAAACGACATCATCAGACAGCCGAACAAAATAAGGAATAATAACCTCCTCACCAGGAACCAAAAACAAAACTGGAAATCCAATAAAAACGTACCAAATCAAACCAAACGGCCAAACCAAACCATTTTCAGATCAGATCTCTATCTCTTTCTCTCTCTAAGTTTCAGCTTTAGATCTCCTCTTTCTCTCTCTTCTCCGTCTTTCTCAAAGTTTGTGACTGTGCCCACTTTTCGTCAAACAACTAACTCCAGGTCACTCCATTCTCCTTTCAGTCTTTCGCATTTATCTTGTAATTTATAAACAGTGTTTTTTATTTTTGTGTATTCGCAAGTGATTATTTGTTTTGGATTCAAATTTTCGGATTTAATTGTTTGTTTTCGTCGATTTTTATGCCTTTATGTTTTAATATTATTTATTTTTGTGGGGGGTTTTTATTTGATCTGATTGATTATTGAAGAAACGATATCGAAATTATGGGCTTTATTATTATTATTATTTTTTATTTTATTTATTTATTTATTTTTTGTTTTGTTTTGTAAGGGTCTGTTTGGTTACTGATAAAACTGTGGGAAAAAGAAGAATGGAAATAATGAATTTGTAGTTGATTATTTGCATCTTCTGATAATGGCTTGTTTTAGAAGAGCTCAGAGTACGACATATAATTCGACACTAGTCAGTTATTATTTTTTTTCTTCACTTACTTTTAAAATGACGTAACTATTTTCAATTTCATGGGGTGTTTTCTGAAAGAAACTTTTTACTTGGGTTGGATAGGCAGTGTTGGAGTCTTCAGATTGAGCTCAGAATAGCGCGGGTGTCGGGCTTTAATGACTTTTTGATCCGGTTGAGATTGGAAGATTCATGCTTTTTTAATCCTGCAAGTGTGGAAGTGAAATAGTTCTGTTGTTAGATCTTATGGAAAATGAATGTGGTTATTGGCTTGGGGTGTTTGTAGTTGGATTTAGCATAGAACAAGGAAGGAAATGGTAGAGGATGATTTGGAGGTGAAAAGGGTTGAAAAAACAGGAGCCAAGTTCACTCAGAGTGGAAGCCCAGGGTCGTGTCATCGAAGGGAGCCTTCATTTTCGTGCTGGTGCGATGAAGATGTGAAATGTCCGTTGGATCATCACTTGGGAATTGCAGATGCAAGCGTAGTGGAAGATTCTGATTTTGAATTGCCTTTGCTTCAAGAGGGTGAGATAGAACGTAGAAATTTAGATACGCGGAGATATCACATTACTAAATTCTGGGACATAAGTATGCATTCGAATGGTGGAGATAGCATGGATGACAGTGTCCATGTTGGGAGAAATGAAAAAGAGAAGTACGAGCCTTTCGATATTGAAAATGTGTCTGCAAAAGAGATAAATGTTGTAGATATCCCCATTTCTTCTCATAATCACAAACCATCGCCAAGGAATTTGAACCCTATTTCTGTTGCCGACGTGTTGAAGACACTATCTTTCATTCTTGTATGGTACACTTTCAGCCTCTTCTTAACATTGTAAGTTCCTTATCAATCAATCATCACATATCTAAATGTTATTCAAAATCTGATACCAAAATTATTTACGTATTCATCTAAATTTGTAATGGTAATGTGGTTTGAATAGGTACAACAAGAGTTTGTTAGGAAATGATTTGGGGAAGTTTCCAGCTCCCCTGTTGATGAATACCGTCCATTTTGCAATGCAAGCTATGTTATCGAAATCAATCACATGGTATTGGTCTAACCGTTTCCAACCTAATGTTGCTATGTCATGGACAGATTACTTTACGAGGGGTAAACTCATTCCTTTTGATCCTTGTCTTTACTTCGTTTTCATTATATCAATTTGGTATCGCAATTTTAATAAGTTATTCTACTGTTTTTACTAGCAAAGCTAGTCTTTACATCCTTACCTTATGTTTCAATACTGATTGGTTTGGAAATTTGTACTAATGTACAGTTGTTTGTTGAATTAGACTTCCAGTTTATGGCATTTGGTCTTATTCGTTCATCATTTATTAGCATTCCTTGCGAAAATGTTGTTCTCCAATTTCTTCAGTTACTGCAACTGGGTCTGTTTATCTATATTAATTTTTTGATTAACCTATCTATCGACTAATGATACAGATGGACTTTGCCTTTCACAGTTGTACCAACTGCCCTTGGGACAGCAATGGATATTAATTTGAGCAACGCATCTCTAGTTTCTATATCTGTCACGTTTGCCACAATGGTTTGTTACCCTACCCTCTATACTGTGTTATATAGAAGTGCAACTTCGTTTTAATAGAAGTGCAACTTCGTTTTAATTTATTCTTTTTGCTTGAGTGTGCATAGGCATTTTGACATTCTATTCTTGATCAGCCATCTTATCAACTCTAACCTTTTCTTATGCAGTGTAAATCAGCCGCTCCTATATTTCTTCTTCTATTTGCTTTTGCTTTCAGGTAATCTCTTGTCAATTCAATTTTGTAACCTATCTCAGTAATCAGGAGCAGCTGTCAAATTAAATTCTTTTTGCATAATAACATAATAAACTCCGCAACACAGAAATAATGATATTTTAAAGTAAATAACTGACTACCAGCAGCATAATAGCATTAGAGCAGGGGCTTCTCATTTTTTCCCCTCTCTAATTTTGAGGCTCCAATTTGTTTCTAAGGCCATGTGTTAGACCAAAAACAATGTAGGATAGTGGAGTTTATATTAAAGGGGAAACCTTTGATCCTACAGTTTCTTAAGATAAGCATTTGGATATTTGCGGAATATCATTGATAGCTAGAGTTTGAATCTTTATAAACTTGAAATAGTTATCCAAACTAGTGGACACAACTAGGGGCATCATGTTTATTACCACTGAAGGCCCTGTGATTCAAAAGTTTTTTGGTTGTGCAGTTTTGCCATTTTATTTCAATACTCCGTAATGTGTACAGTTATATCCCTGTCAATAGCATTTATGCATGTTTTTTTTTTTTTTTCTCAGGAAAGCTTAAAGATCCGTCTATTTTATAATTTTTTATACTTCATTATATACTAAAACACCTTTTGTTGGATATTGGTTTTTGGAGTCCTCCCCCTTAGTTTCAACTTTTCAGTACATATGATTTTTGGAGCTTCACATATTTATTTTTGTACTTTTTTTTATGCTTCTTGTTTTTTGAATTTGCAAATACTTTTCAATTTTGATTATTTGCATAAGATGCCTTTGTTCACGTATTGTTCTTGATGACGTTTTATTTCATTCATTATGTTTTCTAAAATCCTTTCTCTTGCCCCTAATTTCTACCCTTTGCTAGATACAATATCAAACTTTTAGTCTTAGATTATTACTTCTTGTTTTTCCATTAAATGGATTTGTTTGTCTGGAAGGTTGGAGTCTCCAAGCATTAAACTATCGGGCATAATCTTAATAATCTGCGCTGGAATATTATTAACAGGTAAACTGCTTCTTCAACTGCGATTACCTTTTTTTGGTTCATTATTCACTCAAAATAAAAAATAAAATAAAATTAAACTCTGTTCATTTTTTTTCCTTTAAGGACAATTGCTACGGCAACTGATACATTTTACGAACCTTAATTGTCGTAAACATTCAAAACCTGCTTTTGTTATTAAAGTACTTCTGGTTACATTATGTGGAAGTGGAAAACTACTTACATGACATGCACAACCAAAGAGGAAAAAAGAAAATAAAAAAAAATAAAGAAGCATGGTTATAGGGCCTAATTCTTAAAGGTGATTAAATGCCTAAAATTTTCAAAAAAAAAAAAAGGAAAAAGAAAAGAAAATAACAAGGTTGTCCCTTTCCCTCCCTTTCACAAACATCTTTCTTTCATATATTTAATTAATCCTTTTAAAATTGTTCACTTTCATCTTTTTTTCCCCCCCTCACTGTATAGCAAAATGTCTCCCTTCTTATATGTCCTGGTTTGGAAAATTGAAATAAACCTGTCATACCTCTAATCTTCATTGGAATATCATTGAGTTCCTTTACCATCTGGTGGACAAATTCTTCACTCTAAACCTAGTAATTTTACCGTCTCTATTTTTCTTTGGCCATTAAGTTCTTAGTTTATGCAAGTATCTTAGGCCCCGTTCATTTCGCCGATTCGAGTTTAGAATTTGAGTTTTGCTACAGTAAAAAGCTCTCAGAATCAGTCACATCTAACTTTTTTGCTACAGTAAAAAACTCTCATACAAAATCACATATCAACTCGAATTATAAACTCGAATCAGCGAAGTGAACGGACCCTTAGCCATTAATCCTATGAGTGAGTTGCATTTCTCTAGGGGTATCTTAAGACCATATGCAGTAAACTAATGAACATCTTTCCTTTTGTTTTACTTATTCATTTTTATGAACATAGCAGATTGTTTAACCAATGTTTGGCTTCCTGTTCGACTGTTTTGTTGCCTCCATTATTTAGTATAACACTGCAGCCCTATCTGTTGTTGATTTCCATTTAGTTCTCAGTTTATGCAAGTATCTTAGCCATTAATCCTATGAGTGAGTTGCATTTCTCTAAGGGTATCTTAAGACCATATGCAGTAAATTAATGAGCATCTTTCTTTTTATTTTACTTATTCATTTTTACGAACATAGCAGATTGTTTAACCAATGTTTGGCTTCCTGTTCAACCGTTTTGTTGCCTCCATTATTTAGTTTAACACTGCAGCCCTATCTGTTGTTGATTTCTCATACAAGTTTTTGACTACAGTAGTCAAATTTTCTTTTCTATTTGATAGTTGCAAAAGAGACAGAGTTTGAGTTTAGGGGATTCATTCTTGTTATGCTCGCTGCGGTTATGTCTGGCTTTCGCTGGTGCATGACTCAAATTCTTCTACAGGTAATGCTATGTTTCTCTTACCAACTTTCTGTTCAACATGAAATATGAAATCTTCTATGTGCTTTCCCCCCCCTCTCTTTTTTTTTTTTTTTTTTTACTTGTAAAACCATTGTGAAGAAAGAGACTTATGGTACGTGCTATCCTCTGCTCTTTAAAACTTTGATTTGAAATTCTTCAGTTGTTAGATTTATGCTTTTTTTTTTTGGGTAACAATGCACTTTTATGATAGTAAATTGGATCATTATCTCTACATTTAGACTATATAAAAGCTTCTGTTTTGCAAATTAATCTGTTAGGTGTTTCCATTTGATTTGATTTTTTTTCCCCCCAGGTTTAAAGAATCCTCTGACCTTGATGAGCTATGTAACGCCAGTGATGGCAGTGGTGACTGCTATTCTCTCTTTTATGCTTGACCCGTGGCATGAATTTAGAAGGAATAATTACTTCAATAATCCCTGGCATGTCACTCGTAGCTCCTTGCTGATGCTTCTTGGTGGAACACTTGCTTTTTTTATGGTAAGAATTTATGTTAGTTTTTGTTTATTCTTGGGAACTGTAGTGATGAGATGCAGGCCATTTCCTTCATCTAATTTGCCATTGATTATTTAAGTTCATCATCTATCGGTTTGAGTTTGTAATTTTGATTGGCAAACTCTCTGTTGCTACAGGTGTTAACAGAGTACATTCTTATCTCAGTAACGAGTGCTGTTACAGTGACAATAGCAGGCGTTGTCAAGGAGGCTTTCACCATATTGGTATGAATTGCTCCTATCTTATTTCAACAAAATGTATTGTGTTATTCCTCTACGTAAGGCTCCTTTGCAATACTATAGTTCCATTTTTTCTAATTTGAAATTTCATTGCATATATGCTTGTCATGGTAAAAGTAATAATATAAACTGGGTTCGTAGAGTCGACCAACTTTTCGTTTTGTTGCCATGGTAACATTTTTTTTTTAATAATCAATTGAAAAAAAAAATATAAAGAATACCAGGACAAGGAAAGAAACCAAGAAGAATAAGGTATCCTCCAAGCTCGTGTAAGAATTTGGACGAGGTAATTCTTAAAGTTACCCAAATAGTTGATGGATGAGGTTATATTCAGTTTTAACTTTCTGCTTAGCATTAGCCTTGTTTTCGTGTCAACGTATATCTTGGACTGCAGCCTGGCTACCTAACCATGCATTTCGAGTGATTAAAATAAAAAACCGATAAACGTTAATTCTATTATAGTTTCCAGTTTCCACTAATTTTCTTTGGTGATAAATGTTGATTGCAGGATGATGTTTTTCTTGCATGTATTAATCCATATCCTATTTCATCTATGTTCAGGTTGCAGTCATTTACTTTGGTGATGAGTTTACCTGGTTGAAAGGAGCTGGACTCCTCACAATTATGGTTGGTGTTAGTTTATTTAACTGGTACAAGTAAGTCATCTAATTCTTTAAATTTACCTAGTTGAAAATGCTTCGACCCCTCTTTTTGCTCCAACCCATGCACTCATTTAAAAGCTAATTGGTTCTCTTCTTCTGCCACTTTTGCTATCCATGATACAAAAATTATAGATGTAAACAGTAAACCTTACCTAGATAAGAATAACACCTTTTTTTTAATCTCCTTGCAAGTTTCTTTGGCGTATATTGTTCAGCCAGCCTCTTTTTATGACGTAGTTACTTCTTTCCTAGTATCTTCTTCTTAATTAGTATGCCATTTTTTCAGATACCAAAAGCTTCAGAAGGGTCACACAAGTGAAGATATGGATTCTCTCACATCTAATGCCGCTGCAAAATATGTCATTCTCGAGGAGATGGACGAGCAAGATGATGCCAGCCGAAAGCCTTAGTAGGACATTCTCAGGAAAATTCACGGTAGGCTCCTTTTTTTTTTTTTTTTTTTTTTTCGTTTGCAACTGAATATCATCTACCCAATTTATTTGCGGTTCATGTTAAGTCCTGTTTTCAGCTGCTTATGCACCCTTTTAAGTTATATACATCGCAAAAATATAGTTATTTCTTTTGGGCTCTTTACTTGACAAAAATAATTTGTATCTCATGAAACATTGCATTCTAACACACTTTCCATTAGTTCTGGTACTTTCTTAATTCACCTTGGTAAGTTTGTAATAGCGATGTCTTAACTTTGGCAAATCTTTTCTATTATGAGGATGCCTCAAATGAAAATATGAGTGACAAACATATCTGCTTGATGGTTTATACTCGATATTCTGTGGATGATTTAGGATGTTCTGCTATTCACCTTCAGTGCAGTGGATGGTTAATATCAACCATCTTTGAAGGGGATATTAACCATATTGTTGACCTTAATATTTGATGCTTCTCTCTCTGTATGCTTTGTATGGAAAACTGCATCACATTTACTTGGTGAAAAATTTATGTCGCCTCTAATTTGTTATGACTTGTAAACCATTCCGTTTTGCTAATTTAACTTCATGTGTGTAGATTGACTCGAATCGTTGATATTCAAGTTTGCGTCCCTCCAATGAGATTTCGACAAAAAGCAATTTTTGTAAGTTTTGAATTTTCCCCACATTTATGACGTCCATCTTCAGATTTGCTCCTGTATTTCTTCTTTTTCTTTTGGCTGGGGATGAAAACCACGACTTCTTTTCCGAACAAGTGGAACGAAAACTAATCGTTTATCTCTGCAATGGACCATCGCGAAAGCTCATTTGATATAAGTGTAGCCTTTGTACTTGCATAATCATTTATAGTTAGGAGTGAGTGTTTATAGATTGAAACTTCAAGCTGTAATAACCCGAGTGTTATTTTTCACTTGAGAATTTTGTATACCACTATTTGATATGATACCATTTTTAAGATGTATATAATAAATGAATTGAGGATTTTCTTTGTTTATATTTGTTATTCAGGGAAATGATCTTTCAGAACAGTACCAAATGTTTATCAGCCACTTCTTAGAGTGTATTGGCTTTTTATTATTTGATGTGGTTACAAAGGTCCTTAATTATAGAACCTACATTTAAAATGAAAGACTAAATTTGTTATCTCGTGTTCGTTTTTCGTGAATAGAAATGTGTTTAGTTAGTCAATTTATTTTCCTGCATCATATCCATAGTTAGGGCATTTATGTTAGTAAATAACCATAGAAATTTATATGCCTTTTTATGGTTTGAATTTTTCATTTTTCAATTTTACCCTTTTTTTTTTTTTTTTTTATCTCTCTCTCTAGATCTCTTTTTCTATATGATCCCTTTTTTTTTTTTTTTTTTTTATCTCTCTCTCTAGATCTCTTTTTCTATATGAGATTCGTAGGTATGTTCCTCTCTCTCTCTCACAATGCCAGTTGGGATTCACAGTGTAAAATTAGGATTTACTATCAGAAAACATATTGTATTTTTCATAAGATTTGAATTTATAGTGTAAATTTAGGATTTACCATCAAAATACAATTTCTATTTTCTTCGTAAATCTTGAATGTAGATTTATGATTTACCATCAGAACACATACCATGTTTATTTATAAATCTTAAATTTATATGGTAAATTCAAGATTTACTGGTACAGAATTATATTAACTTTACTAAATAAGATAAACATTTTTTTAATTATGTTCGTAAATTTAATATTTTTGCCGTACGGTAAATCCAAAGAGGCACAGTTCATAAATATAAGATATTCATAAAAAAAAATTAGATAAGGTATTATATTCTTGTTAATTTCATATGATTTTAATTTGATGGATGTTCATGATTATACTCCATCGGTAGGGTTTCATACCCTACCATATAATTCTCCTTATTTTATAATTGATAAATGTTTAAAGGGCATTGGGATTTGGGTCGTCCTATTAATACATATAATTGTAACATCAAATAATGCCTTCGTTGAATGTTGATAACCCAAAAAAAAAAAAAAAAAAAAAAAAAAAAAAAAAACAAACTCATTGTTTAAAGTACGTACATTATGAAAAACTAAAATTCCAATACACTGAGAATAGAGAATATTTATATTTTTTCTTAGTCAAAATTAATATTTGACTGAAAAAAGATAAGGATTTAACATGAATTTGAGACGTAAACGTTATACAATTAAAAAATATAAAGTATATGATATTTTGATGACCTTAAAATTGAGGGAATAAAAAAAAAAATCTTCCCAATATGATGTCGGTTTTCAAAGCTGTTGTCGTTTTTGTTTTGATGGGGGCACAACGTACAAATCCTGAACATGGAGTCACGGAATTCTCATATTAAGTGAGGGATCATATAGAGATTCTAATTACAGCCATAAGTTAATTCTACTTCTTTTCGCAGGCCGTGTTTAGAAAGTAATTCTCATACTCATTAATTACTACTTCCATCTTTTATTTACAAGTCAATATATATCGCACCCATCTAGTATTTCATCAAGAAATCGCTGATTTCAGAAGTACTTGTTTCCAATAATGGCCATCAAAGACACAAATGTTACATCCTTCAAGAAACCATCTCTGCCTGTGATGTCATCCGAACAACATGAAGAATTTCTGTCCCCGGAGAAGGCCGCTAGAGTATTGTTGAAGACGAGATTCGCGGGTTTGATTTGCAAAGCGCAGCAGGTTCTCCAAGAGAAAGGCAAAGCTAGTGATGATCATCGTGATCAAGATATTGTTTCTTGGAGAGATGATGACTATGAGGAGCCTGAGAAGTTGAAGAAGATCGAGATGACACCGTCACGTCGAGAGGTCGATCGAGTGCAAAGAGTGACTAGTGTCGGTGTTGATCAGTTGAAGACCAAGAAGTTACGTGAAGAAGAAGTCAGAGCACAAACATCAGAAGAAAGGGATGATCAATTGGTGATCAAAAGTCTTCAAGAAGAACAGGAAAGACGAAGAGAAGCTGATCATAGTAATTACTTGAGAACCAAGAAAAATCAAGAAATTGATTTACAAAGAGAAGCTGAAGATGATCTTCGGTATTTGAAGAAGAAAAGGCATTTTGAAGGAATCGAGATACAGAGAGAAGGAGATCGTGGGTTGAGGAGGCGATAAGAGATTGAAAGACAGAGAAGCTGCTCGGATCGCCATTAACAAGATGACAAAAACTGTTGATTTCGACAACCTCGGTGTTATGATGGAGTTCGAGAGGCTGCTGTGCTCTTAATAACATTGTGACTCAGAATTAGTGCATTTAGGTGATTAAAGTTGATATTAACTAGACCTAGCTTTGTAAATAATTCTTTCCATTATTAATGAAGGATCTTCTCAGTCTCCTCGGCTCTACCATGGTTGTGGGCTAACTTCAAGCCGAATCACGTAAAATATCCATGTTCATCTTTTTGTTTTTGTTCATCGTTATTATTATTATTATTTTTATTTTTCCAATATTGATTCATCTTCTTAGGCTCATTCACCTTAATTTTTTTTTTTAGGAGAAAGAGAGAAATATGCTGAGATGAATTAAAATTAATAGGCCAATAATTTATATAAGTTAATAAATATGCCAAATTACTGTTTTCGTTCATAACTAGTCTGGTTATGCACCATAACTTGACAAGTTATTGTCCATAACTTATCTGGTTATGAATCATAACTTGACAAGTTTGTCTATAACTTATCTGGTTATGAACCATAACTTGACAAGTTTGTCCATAACTTATCTGGTTATGAACCATAACTTAACAAGTTATGGCCTATTAATTTTTATAATTAAAAATTGGCCTATATACTTTCTTAAGCTTTTTATATTGGCTTATTTCCTACTATTTCTGATTTTTATTTTTTATTTTTTAAATTTTTGTAAGGGGAACGTAAACCCTAAGTAAGATATGCAGAAAATTTTTAATTCCTGGTTTTTTCCCACTGATATAACCCTAGCCACAAGTAGCTAGCGTCCACTTCACATGTAATTAGCCCGTGGGTTGTCCTCATAATTAGTAATTTAGCTTGTAAATTGCCCGGAGTAAAATTGTCAAACTTTTTTGCGAGGAATAAGTTGAACAATTTTGAATTATGTGCTCGAAAGCCCAGAATAAAACTTAAAAGTTTACAAGGAAAACATATAAATTAATCATTGGCGCAAATAGGATCTTTTATGTTTTTGTCACGGAAGTATTTGCTCTGTACTTCTTCATTGGTAAGTTAAAAAGAAAGTTTTTAAGAAAATTGTAAGCTCTACTAAAGGCACGCAGACATAAAAGAAATTTCTGTACGATTAAGATTGTAAGTTTAAAACCTTTGAAACTTAAGAAACTTGAAGCTTAAGATTGTATGCTCTACTAATGGCTTTATACCAAGATTTCAGACCATGAAGCTTAAGAAACTTGAATTTTGAGCATTTCAGGTTATAGGAAACCAAGGCATTGCGAGAATAACTGAACAACAGTAATCCATCGTATTTTGAGCAAGTTATAGGTTGATATAAACCACGAGGCCACTTTACATCATGGCTAGCAATGGAAACCAAATTCGTCCCCGACTCCCTTACGCCATATTCTTGCATTATACATAAGATCAAAGAGAGAAAACTCAAAAGATGCAGTACATAAACAAAGACAACCTCTTAAAACTCCTATGCTCACACAATGCCTAAAACCCCATGACAGAGAAGGTGCTAGCATAACTGACTGGAACTTTTCATTGTCCAAGTCAAAAGAAGCTATACAATCCGATCCCGGTACAGGCCCGGGATAGCCCCGGTATAGACCCGGGACAGCCCCGGGGCAGCCCCGGGATAGCCTCGGGTCAGCCCCGGTACAGCCCGGGACAGCCCCGGGACAGCCCCGGGTCTGCCCCGGTACAGTCTCGGGACAGTCTCGGGATAGCCCTAGGGTAGCCCCGGTACAGCCCTGGGGCAGCCCCGGTATAGCCCCGGGATGGCCCCGGTACAGCCCCGGGATAGCCCCGGGATAGCCCGGGTCAGCCCCGGAATAGCCCTGGGGCAGCCCTGGTACAGCCACGGGACAACCTCGGGACAGCCCCGGTATAGCCCCAGTACAGTCCCGAGACAGCTTCGGGGCAGCCTCGGTACATCGCCGGTACAGCCCCGGGATAGCCCGGGGCAGCCCCGGTACAGCCCTGGGACAGCCCTGGTACAGCCCCGGTACAGCCCTGGGACAGCACCGGTACAACCCTGGGGCAGCCCTGGTACAGCCCCGGGACAGCCTCGGGGCAGCCCCGGTACAGCCTCGGGGCCGTATTGGGCTCCCCGACCGCAAGGATTGGTCCCTGACGCTCTTTGGGCATACTGCACTGCTTACAAATCCCCTCTTCGGATGTCTCCCTATAGGCTTGTCTTTGAAAAAGCCTGGCATTTACCTGTCGAGCTCAAACATAGAGCTTATTGGGCCGTCAAGGCCCTTAACTTTGATCTCAATGCTGCAGGTATTCAAAGAAAGCTTCAATTGTCTGAGATTGAGGAGTTAAGGAATGACGCATACGACAATTCCAGGATCTACAAGGCAAAAATGAAAGCAGCTCATGACAAGCAGATCCTGAGAAAGAATTTTGAGCCGAATCAGCGGGTGCATCTTTATGACTCCCGTTTGCATCTCCACCCAGGTAAGTTAAGGTCGCGGTGGACTGGTCCATTTGTGGTGAAACAAGTTTTTCCCAACGGTACTGTCGAGGTCGAGGACTCAAGCGATGGGAGAGTATCCAGAGTCAATGGCGAGAGATTGAAGCATTACATTGAGCGTGTGAGCCAGGCTGAAGAGATCATTCTCGAGGCTCCAGTTTACGAATCTTGAGGAGTTTGCTTTCAACCCTTTTGTATCATATTTTTGTTTCTTAGTTTCGTTTGGTGTGTTTTGTGTGCTTTTATTTTTAGTTTGATTTTGTGTGATTTTATATTTGTTTGTGTTTTGGAGAATCAGTTCAGGAGGCTCGGCTTAGTTCCAATGTTCATC